AAGATAAATCTGAAAAATCATCAAAATAAAATAAATTCATCGTCAGTATTTATGATATTACGAAGATGATTCGAGTTAGGCGAACAAACTTGTGTATACACCTGCTTGTTTTCCTGCTCGTCGAAAGTACAATCGCGTTGATGAACACGGCTTCGGTGTTGATTTGCAAATTATGAATGAAATCGAATTGCTTCCTTAACGAGAACGCTATCCTGTTATTCGCAATAAAGTATCTCCCAGTGATGAAACGATTTACAACTCCAAAAAAAGAAATTCATTAAATTTGGGCACTCTGTCTAATTTATTTAGTATCTTATAATTAAAGATCAAAAATATAAAAATTTTGTCTATAAAAATAATATGAAGAATTATTGAGAATTACTAATGTTTATAGAAACATCTTGCAGTTATAATACTAAGGTATACTACAATTAAAGTACCAAATATACATGCAGTTTATGCATAAGCACGTGAAATTTGCATCACATATTAGCTTAAGGCCAGGATTGTGTTTGTGACAACATGGAGGCTTTAGGTAGGTTTGTTTGACGAAAGGGAAACGGCAAACTTGTAAGGAACACTGACAAATAGCCTGGCACCGATTAAGTTGAGAAATTGAGACAAAGATTCCGTAAATTGAGACAGAGACTCGGTAGAATGAAAGCTACGTTGCAGGTGTTATATTAAGAAGGTACGTGGTGCGTTTCAAAAGTAATGAGACTATATTCATTAAAGTTTTTCTGTGTCACATTTTTTGTTAGAAAAGTCAAATGAATCCTTATTAAAATAGTCCCCTAGGAGAACGATACCTTAATGAAAATATTTTTCTTATTTCTTATGGTGGATACTTTAATAAAATTTCATTTGGTCTAACAATAAATAGTAATTGGTAGGTCAAAATTAAGATTTTTAGAATTCCTCCTTCCTCTATATTAGCATTTTCCTTGGGAAAGCTTAATTCGATCGCGAGTGTACAGTTTCAGTTTGGTAATTTATCGATATTCGAGGGTCACTGAAATATTGATATGGAAAACTTTCCGAAGATTGATATCCCGTGAAAAAGTCGACGTTCCTTAACACTGAATTTCTACTAAATTATCGCTGCAACCTCCAACATTTCTCGAGTATCATTTACTAACTTTATAATGCACTTTCATGTTAACGAAATGGAAATTAGAAACTTTTAGGTAAGTTGAAAGTTTTGAATGGATTCGTCGACAAGGATGCAATCGAAACGGTACTATGTGTATACTACAATATTATATTACGATTATTATATTCTCTTTGATATTTTAAGATTGAAATTTTTACTGTTAGATTAGGGAAGTATCTACTAAATTTTATATTTATCTGTTGAAATAATGAACAAATTTTAACAAGGAAAAATATTACAAATAAAATCATTCACTGCCCAATTAAGAAATTTAATTGTACATCGTACGGTTTGTTTCCAGCAACAACATTGAACGTAACAACACGGTGGCAGAGGTTAAACGAGAATGCGAGGATATTTTGAAGACGACTCGGGAAACGGCGGAGAAACAATTTCAAGAATTGGTCGAGTTATACAATGGAACCAAAGAAAAGGTACACTTCAGAAAGTGCATTAAAGTCTTTGTTTCAATTGTTATAAATTTAACGTGAAAACACGTTACATACACGCGAGCAATCCAAAAGTAAACATATAATACTTTATAGTTAGATACTATTCAGAAAGCAAGAAAAAAGACCATTTCTTTTAGCATAGAAATATTAAATATCATAATTGGATAAAATTTTCGCTTTTCCACGAACTTGTTATTTTCCAAAGAGAATAATAGATATCTTTGGACTTGTAATTTATAAGTTACACAACGAGAAACTGCAATTATGTCCGTAACGAGCTGCTTTAGAAATGTGAAATAACAAAGGATGTCCGAATTTTCCTTGGTACGATGGACAGTAGTTCAAAAGGTTTTGGACGCAATAGCGATGATACATGCATCGTAAACCAACATCAAAGTACTTTTTTAATTGATATGCATTCCGCTGTTGTAGCCAGCCTTTTTACAGAACGCCCAGTCTAGAACGTGTGCACTTTGAAACGTCGCCTTTTTGATACGCGAAATCGAAGTTGTCACTTCTTTTTTTGGCCCTTTTGAATATGCAGTACCCGTGCAAATCCCGAATTTCAAACGACTCCGATATAAGCTACCGTTGGCAAATTTTCAAACTACTGTCTCCTAACATTTAAAGCCATTCTGTTCCCTACTTTTATTCAAGTTTTATTCAACCGCAAAAGACCACCAACCTTTATTTTTTCCTTTTAAGTTCCGTACTTCTCCCAAAATATGCAGAGGGTGTTCAAGAAGGGGTGGACATCCTTGCAGGTGATGGTAACTGGGATGATTTTTAAGAACTTTTTCTTTTACTACAATGCTCATTAAACCTTAGTTTTTGAATTATTAATTGAAAACACTGACCAATGACAACGCGCTAAGCACGCAGGCTCAACCGCGGGAGTGGTCGCTACGTGAGCCGCACCCGACCGTGGTCGCGAACAAACTACTCGACGCGTCGGTTCGTAGCCGACACTCCTACGTCTGCGCCCTATGCGCGCTCAGATTACCCGTTGTTTTTCATTAATAATTCAAAAACTAAACGATAATGAGGGTTTTGGTGAAGGAAAAAGTTGTTTAGAAGCACCCCAGTTATCACCCCCTCCGAAGATATCCGCCCCCAACCGAACACCCTCAATATAATTTTATAGAAAACATATCAATCTCATAAATAATAAAACAATATGAATAGTCTAAGTACAATATATTGCAAAACGCAAATGTTTCAAATAAATAAATGATAGGATCAATTTCACTTTCTTCTAAGAAGACAAGAAAAATTTCGATATAAATAATTCAACTCTTCTATAATAGCTGACCCGATCAGAGGAGGAAATAGGAACGTACGAATCCTCCCGGCAGGAATACGAAAATCGAACTTTCGAACTGGCGAACTTGCTTGAAACTTTAAAACGTTTCGAGGTGGATGTCAGCTCTGTCTGTCAGCTTGTGGCGGAAGGTACAGCATTATTCGCCGTTTCGAAATTCGTTTGTGTAAGTCGAATATATCCGGTCGGTACAGCTTTGAAGAACTTGACCGAACAAGGAAACGTATACGAGGAGAGCATGAAGAATCTGAGGCATCTCGTTTGGACCACAAAAGACAGAAAGGATGAACCGGAGTTGATTTTATTAAGGAAGCAGAATTCCGTTCTGAGAGAACTTGTGAAAAGTCTTAAAAGGAAAGTATGAATCTTTGATTCTTATTCCAAAAGAAAAGTGACACGCGGTAGATGTTTGAAACTAATGTAGACGCGTAAGGATATGTTTCAGCCAATATCATATTTCCTATTTTTCATCTCTTGAGGGATAGTGATGTGTGAATTATTGATCATAAGTATGGGATTACTTATACCGTAATGATGTTAAATATATAATGAAAAATGTCTGGAAATAATTTCATTTCCTTCCTTCTTAATGGTCTGATGTAATAGCTTACAAATAATTAATTAAGATCGATAATCTTTATCGACGAATATAAACTCATATAAAAATGTACACATTTTTTTTCATAAGCAATGTAGCGATACGTTTGAAGTTTCATGAGTTTTTTTAATATTTTGTTTTTGTAGAACGTAATTACAACAGCGTACTAATGAACGATTAATAAATACTACAGCTAAAATTATCTCATTTTCCGTGGAAATAGAAAACGGTGCGAAGTGCAGAATGAGTATATCAACTCGTTAATAAAAGTTAAAGCAGGTGAAAGTATGCTATACAATTTTGAACAAAATTCCTATTTTAACAAACAATAGCAGAACATCGAAAGGACTTATTTAGTGATATATTTTCTCGCACATTTAATGTGAGAAGGAATGATTGTTACATTGTTAATTGCAATATATAAATTGCAAGCTACAATAAAATATTCTAGCATATAGGTAACATAAATTCAACCGAATGAAACCATTTCCCTGTTTTCTGAAAATCAATTGAAACATACAATACTCGTTCTCTGGCAAACCACGCAATACTTTTATTTGTTCAAAATTTTCAATTGTTTTTTCACAGAAAATATGAACATTCATTTATAATACTTGTCGATGTGAAAATAGTTATCCTGCTCTTTAAAAAATATTCATGCTATTTTCTTATTATTGATTCCAACAAATAAAAGATGAATTATAATTATTAAAATTCAAGAAGAATTATTAAACCGTGTAAAAGTTAATTTAAAATATAATTAAATATCTTAATCGAAAAGATACAAATTAACGATAAAAATGGAATAAGTATTAAATACAAATAAATGGCAAACCATCGGAAGTAAATTTTCATATATTGCAAATGCAGCAAGATAAGAATATTCGTACCTTAATATCGAAGCTAGCTACAAAATTACACGATCGAAAAATTATCCCCGTTTCGTTTCACGTTTCTTTCCCATGTGATATTCTTTTTCATACATAAATTCTACGTCGCCTCGATCCGAACACATATAACCGTAAATAGAATCGTCGACCGCGAAAAAAGTAATAACATTACATTTTTCTCAAAACTGATATTGCAAATGTGCTGAATAAAATTTACAAGATTAATTTATTCCTTTATCCCACGAAATCTTATGAATAAAATTTCTTTAAAATACTTTTATCAGTACTTTCAAGTTCTATTTTTTCCACTGCCTCCATTTTGTGCAAAATTTTCAACAAAATTTCAAATAGTGAAATATACAATACTTTCCTAACTTAGTAATCAATCGTCATAAATCGTTCGATACTAATGAACACAAATCCCTATTAATATTCAATGTTTCAAGAATCCTCATAAAACTCGTTAAAAAGTTTCAGGTATTACAAGAAACTCACAACGAGACTGCCAAAAGAGCAAACGAACAGCGTACCGAAGTTACATCTCATGATATTGAAGTAAATTTGCAAAATTGTGAAGAAAACTTACCAAAACAGATGACGTTGGATAAGGAGTACGCTTCAAACACAGAAAATCACAGAAATTCGTTAATTAAAAACAATAATCACAACTTTAATACGGAGAATGATGCAAAGACGCGCGAACCGACTAAGGCGCTCGAGAACTACAATCGAAGGAGCGAATTCGATATCGAGAGTAGCACGATCGATAAGAGCGGGAGATTACTTCATATTGAATCGCATACGAACGGCGTGCTCTGCGAGGAGTATATATTGAAGTTATCGAAAGACCGTGAAATAAAAATTAAATATCCCGTTTTTTTGAATAATAGTGAGATACCAGTGAAAATAGAATTCGTCGATGACGAGAACGAATATGAAAAAACATTATCGGACGGGATGGTGATATTATTTAAACATATATACGCGTTTGTGAATGTGAAACAAACTGGAATACCCTGCAGCACTCAAACGGCCAAAACAAAAACCATCAACAATTTTGCCCAAACTGCAATGACCGGAATCAATTCATTTTCACGTCTGAATGTTGGCGCCACGGTGAGTGAACATTTATCTGAATTTTTGCTTTGTTACTGTCCTTTTAACGATTTTATTGTTTATCCACTACAAAATATTTGGGGGAAAAAATTCTTATCAAGCGTACGTTTTATAACGGTATACCGGTAGTATACAATTATTTGTGATAATAATATTAGAGATTGATTGGTCTATATACTTATATTATATTTCATACAATACAATTGAGAAAAGTACATTGATTTTTATCATCATGACCGGTACAAAATGTAGATTTTATTTAATCAAATATAGATGCTCAATAGTGAAAAACGTGCGATAGAGAGAAGTCTCTGGAACCTGGAACGAACGGTCAGGACTTTAAAATCTAACGCATTAAGTCAAGCACAAATCATGATTAGTAAAGATTCACAATTCTGTGACAATAGTGAAATATTTGATTATATCAAGATACTGACTCAATAACGCTGTGCACAACAATGCCTATCGTTCTTCGAGGTGCACGAATTCCTAATATTACAACAATGTTCGTAACACGTAACAGTATCGAAGTAGGTTTATCATAACCGTAGTAATACTCATAGTATTGAATTGTACATAAAAAAATACCGCTAGCAGCAATTAGTAAAGATGTCACGTGTTTAGAAAAACGTTAGTCGTTAAAAAATGTGTTACGAGGTGAATCTTACAGATAGTTATACACGCACGGTTGTACATTACATACATACATATATAATAAATGTACATAGCTAATGTTTAATCATATTTAAAACTGTAATATATTATATGTATATATCACACTATTTTGAGTAAAAGTTAAACATTCTCGTTTGTTGCCAAAGATATAGGTGCGTTTTACTACATTATTGTACGTGAATTAACTTTCTTTTAGATATTCTCAGAACGTACTTATCTTTTTACATTGAAGTGCGATCTCGTTACATTTGTGTAAATTGGAAAATTTTTATTAAAAATGTGAAATGCAATCTCTGGAAAAATACGCATATGCATAAACTTTAAGTGGTAAATGCTCAGCTTGTCTCTGGTATAATTCCTTCGATCGAAATAGATGGAACTTTTCTTTTTATCCATAATTTCCTCCGTTCGTCATTCCGTATTCAAGTTTTAATTACAAATAGATAAAAAGATCAATAATTATACTAAGTTTACCGTTAAGTAACAACGAAAAAATTTTCATTTGTAACAAACTATCTCTTACAATTACGTTTGCTTTTTGGCAAATAAAATAAATAGCTTCGGCATGCACTATATATCTTAATATTTATGCGTTGATTCTCAAATCGTAAAAAGACAATGTCAGAAACAGGCTTGTATCCAATCATCCGAGTAAAATACTTTTAAAAACGCGACGAGTAAAAAGATCCAGGAAAAGGCAATATTATATTAAAATATGATAACACATCAGAGGAATGCCATTTCAAAACCCTGCTCTTTCCCTTTCTTTTCTCATTCATATTCTTTGATTATTTGCTAATATCCTACTTTGTTATCAAAAAGATTCAAAATTGATTGCTAGATACTTATTTATACCTATACCTATACCTCCTCTCGTTATTTGTGTTTGAGTATACAATTAATTGTTTCTAGAAATGGAAAAAGTTTCTTCTCCGGCAGCTCTGAATTTATCTTTTCTGTTTCTTATGCCTATTTGAGAATGTTCGATTATAATCAATACGATGAGCCTGGCACTAGGAATTTGCATTCCTAGTAATACTTTGAACAACTCGTTGTCCCCACCAGGCTTCAAGGTTGAAAGGTTCAAAATCTGTAATCATAACAAAGATACCAATTAATATAGATTAATATGAACTCTTAGAAATTAGGAAGGTTACCCTTGAGTTGTGGATTAGGTTCTCGTTCTTGATAGTATGTAACAGATGCTCCATTTCTATAATTAGAAGAATTACTATGTGGTTGATTATGACACATATCCAATTCTCTGGATACTGTGTTCCATGCTGCAACACATATAGGAAGGTTAGCAACTGGAAACATTAAGTTTAAGGCATTTAAAAAATACCACGAAATACTTACAATCATAAATATACTTAATTAAATCAAAATGTTGAGCTACGGTTTCTGATTGATGTCGCGATGGGATAGAGGATGGTCTCTTCCCATTCATCGCCGTCATTTGTGATCGACCGCTACAACATACCATTTTGAAAGAATTTTTTAAACGTTCATATAAATTTTCATTACATGGTTTACTCCATTTCAACATTTTACAATCTTGTAGCAATTAAAAATAATTGCGGAATGTTGAACGAGGAACGTATCGGCATGAAATTATCGACTATTAACTTAAAAGGTTAAAACATGCATGTAAGATGTAAATATGAAAAACAGGAAGAAAACATTCATTATAATTCATTGACGTATATGCAGTAATATCTACAGCCTGTGCAGTAGAAGGAAATGGACGCCATTTTATTGATACGCATACAGCTTAAAGCATAACCTATTTTATACAATGACATATATATATATATATTTAGACTTATAATATGGAATATTATAAAGCAAATTCATAATAAATAATACTATAATACAAAGAAAAAAGGATGATAAATTCAGGTTATTATTAATCAGTTAGTATCATGCAGAGGCATCTCTCTTGTCAGAAGCCACGTATACCGAGAATTTCTTTCCAATATACGAATGCAATTACATTTTTATTAAAAAGCCGTGATAGAATACATCGCTAAGAAACATAATTAAAAAGCTGGAATGAATGAAAGAATTATAAAATGTTCAGTCAGTCAGAAAAGTTACAAAATAATTAATGACAGGAAGGGAACTTTCGAAGAGAAAATGTCAGTGGGAAAGATGGCGGTTCCAGTATGACAGCTAATGCGATGTTTTGTGATTCCCGCCTGTTCCTATTTCATTCGTTTAACACTGTTGCTTCTGCATGCTCACAGCAATGAAACGACTGGCAAGCTGCCAAAGACAAATATGAGACTATCCAGGTGGAAAATATCTTATGGACGACGCAGATCAGAATGAAATGGTAAAATGTAGAGACGCGGGAACGAAGAAAGTAACTCTTGCGATAAATACCTCATTTTCTTCGTTCTGCGTCCAGCCCCTTTAACACCGGAATTCCGTGAAAATCGCTACTCTCAAGGAAATTTCTACTCAATTTCCACAAGCGCAAGTATAAATGCTCCGGGGAAAATAAACAGTCGAGTAGCTGCGCGAAGAAAGCGTTTGTTTCTCGCAACAGCTGCAAGAAGCTTTCTCCGAGAACTGTCAACAATAATAGCTCGAATACAGCGCTCGGATGGTAATGTAGAAAGTAACCGCCACTGGCGATAGGCCAGTGTCACAAACGAGCTATAGGACAGACCAATCACCTTATAGGAATTCGTGTCGTACGATCTGAAATACCGACGTCGCGACGTCCGAAACCTTGTCCACGGACGAGGCGTACGATAGACCACTCACGTATCGCATTTTTGAGTCACGTAATCAGGAAGGTCTAGAACTTAGAACCCCCTTATCATTTCCGTGTTATATCAAATAATATCGATTGATATTACATTACAGCGCTATTGATGATAAGAATTAAAATTTAAAAAATTGAAGAACTTGTTAGACCTTCTGTACTGTCTACTTATAAAATGATGTTTTTGTATTTAATTTTGCATTTGTTTCTATAAATACAGTGAAAAGTGTACTATCTATCTACCATTATTGATTTACTTTAGATTTATTTATTAAATATGAATTAGAATACATCTACAGTGTCGTAATTAGCGTTCACGTGATATGGCATACGTATGAAATATATTTGAAAATATTAAAATCGAGGGAACATTATCATACGTCGGCATTAAATTTTTTACTATATTATCGACTTGTATTCTTTATGTTTCTGCATTTTACCATTAGATGTCTAAATCTGTAAAAAGGATTTTTAAATCAGACTTTCCTATGGAAAATGTCACCTTACATTTTTGATTTATTATATATCTATTTCAAAAGAAATAATTGTTCATCTTGGATAAAGGGACTGTACAAAATAATCTTAGCTTTATTAACCAGTATGAATTTCTTATACAAACAGCATATTATACATAGTCATTGATAATGTGTAATCAGACGAAGGAATGATGATCACTAATGGAAGAGATAATGATATTATTTTACAAACAGAAAAAAATGAAATCGATCATTAATTTTTAATATGGCTAAAACTTAAACCTATATACGAAGTAAAAAACATTATTTACAATAATTTTCAAGGTACACACAACATTCCATTGAATAATGGATTCAGCACATCAGAGACGATCTAAGCCACTGAAAATAATAGATTATTGTTTTATAATATTGCAACTTACTATAAAATAATTATTAGGAATCTTACGAACCTCGGTTAAACTTAATTTTATGGTTCCATTTTGCAAAGGATCTTTACTCTCAAATATACCTGTGATGAAATTAAAAAAAAAAAATCAGCACCTATAAAACATGATAATAAGAAAAAGAAAAAAATAAAGAGAAATGTACCAAATGCATCACTCAGATGCAATATTGCCGAGACAAAATCGCCAAATCTGAGAGTTCCATCCTTCCTCATGTATCGAAGAATTAAAATTGAGAGTACGTCTGTGTTTAATTGGAATCCTACAAAACGCGTTATTAATTAAATAAAAAGATGCAATAGCAAGAAATTAACATTAACTTACCAACTTCTAGCAATGCATCTCGTAATCGTTCCGCTTTAAGTATACCAGTCTTTTCTTTAGTATGATTCTTAAAAGCCGCTTGCCAATACTTTAAACTACACATGAGATCCTTGAAATCGTTGAATTTCAATCGTCCGCTACCTGAACTCTGTATATCGATAATTTAAGGAAAACAAATGAACGTCAAGTGTAAAAATGTTCGAAACAAACAATTTGAAGGATACATCCATCGTGAGAACCACCTGTCGACATACTTCCATACAAGCGCAGCTCTTTATGTAATCTATGAAAAGAATATCCCTCGGTAATTAATTTATGTATCTTTCGTTAATTGCACAGTTTTGTAGAATAATTTACCGTTTGGCAAACAAGCTTCGAGGAGTTCTTGCAATTCAAACGCGTTCACCGTTCTATGTTCATCAGCTAGTTGTAGAAAAACAGCTTCGTACTGCGAGAAACCTTTGCCTTCGAGGGGTGGTGCTTTGATAATGGCTGATTTTACTAAAGTGGGTGGGGTATCAAGAAGTCTAAGACGAACCAAAGAACAAAGAATCATATAAAAGATTACTTTATAATACAATTATAGTAGAAGAAAGGGTGATGACATGACTCCTTGATTTTACATTTCTTCCTGAAGTTAATTAGCAGGGGAGCATAGAACCACCCTTTCCTCTATTATAAAGAGGAATATATTTGCAATTCTTACTTAAGTTTCAAAGGTTTACTGCTGTAGACTCTCAATGTGAAACTCGTTTCTTGAGTAGGCTCGAACGTGGTTGGTACTAATAAATAACCACCCTGATCTAATTGACACCTGTGGCTCACCTGACGGCTGTTCGTGTACTGCGAGTTCATGAGAGACTTGTTCTTTTTGAAAAATTGTTTGTTTATCGATTCGGCGTTGTTCTTCGGCAACGTGTACGCGGTGAAACCAATCACTTTGATCTCCATTATGGAATGTTGATACAAAGAGACGATCACTTCTTCCATCTCGCTCAGTATCAGATGTAATTGCGGATTAATATGGAAAGTTTCTGTAAAACCCGCATAGAGTAGAACGATGGTTATTGTGAATTAAACAGCTGGCCACGTTACGCATTACCGGATTTCCTGTGTAAAACGTTCATTATTAGAGTAAACCGCAAACGAACCTTCATTGTTTCGACATCCTCCCGCCGTCACGCCCCTCCTCCAGCTACCTTGATAGAGTTTCATTTGCCAGGTATGTTTACTATGCAATGATGGTTCATCTCTGGACGTTTCGGCATCAAGATGTACGACTTCTAGATGAGTGAACGTTTTCACGAAATCCGAATAAGATATCCTGCGATCAACAAAGTCTTCGTTAGTAGAAAATGACGATGTTTAATTGAAGGGATACTAGCGAGAAAATTATTCTACCAAAATTCTCCTTCGGCCATGTTTCTGACCGCTAAACGTTCCCTTTCCATCGGTGGTACTTCGTCCCATTCGAGGCCACCTCTTGCCCAAGCCCCGACGTATTCTCTGCCAGGTCCAAGAGGATTTCTTAACTTCACCAACTGCACCGCTTCGCCGTTGAACGTTTCTACCTGGATTTCACGATCCTTCGTTACAAAAATATCGATCAAAGATAACGGAAACCATCGGTGATCAGTATTTACCCTCTCGATGGCGTATAGCCTGTAGTTGATGCCCATCTGGATACCATTGGCGAGTTTCTCTGTACTGGCACGAATCTATGTTACAAAATTACCATTCGTTCAATTTGCCCGTTTATTCTTCACCTTTGCATATTCGTCAAGACTTACTTGCTGTTGATTATTATTTACTGTACAAGTGATAAGGGAGGTCATGTCCAGCAATTTCGCGAGTACTCTTCCGCAAGCCGTAGGATCCTGACGAATCGCGATACTTTCTGTGATTCCTCCCGTCAGGTCGGATAAACCATCCAACAGAGTACCGTACTTCAAAGCTTCGTACGAACCGTGAAGCCTGAAATAGAAAAAAATCAATTTCTCCGTTTCCCAGGTACACATTCTTGGCGAAAGAGTCTTCGGGTACGATCGAACAGAGTCACAAGGTGCGCAGGCAATTCTATCGTTGGTTTTCAACGAGATCTTTGGTATTTCAAGTCACGTCTCGTTTTCTCGCAGAGAAAACTCGCGGAGTTTTACTTTTCTTTTTTTTCTTCAAATACCAGTTCGCTTAGAGTGGCCAAGGGAAAGCGGATGGTTAGGATTTTTCGACCTACGACCTTCTTCGACGGAGGTACGCATGATCGCGATTTCTAGCGCGTTCTTCATCGATTCCCCCAAGAAAGTTGAACCGTTGCATCGTTAATCTTCCGGCACGCAACAAGCTTTTGTTCTCGGTAAACGAAGAGTCTGATTAAGCCGGCACAGGCGAGTTTTCGCTGGAAATCATCGCCGAGATAGAAAGGCGAGATGCGGATCTGCCGCGAGCTGATAACCCAGGACGATATCATCTTACCTCTCTGCTTCGTTCTTAAATTAGCATTCTTTAGATAACGGGCTGGATCTTTCTCTTTTAACTACCTCGTCCTGGTAACGCGAACGTCTCTCCGCGTACGAAAAAACTCGCGAGCTTTGGTGGCCGCGCGTGTGCGAGAATGCGTAAGTTAATCTCTAAACCGTAACCATTCACACGCACGAGAGCATGGGCCAGTTGCATGGGTATTTTCTCAGGGAAGGCGAACGCAACGCGACAGGAGAGCGGATCTGTTTTCCAATTATGTCCCATATGGCGTTTGGATTTCGTCCGTTCCGTAATTAACTCTTGAAAAGAGCGGAAGAGACTCGGAAGTGGGGTTGATTCAGAATTAGAGTGATAGATGGAGACGAATTAACCATATAATCGTCGAAACTCTGACTCTCACTTGTTTTGCTGACCGAAGCAGGTACGACGGAAGTGAATGGTTTGACGTCAATAGGCATTGATTACTGAAAGGCTGTAATTAAATCTTTCTCTGCAGAAGGGATTGAAATAAATTCAAAGTACGAGATAAGAAATCATTAAGCCGAAAGATGTTTGAGGCTGATTGCAAGGGTCACCGCACCTTCGAACAAACCTGCAACAGTCTGCTGACTATGTAATACTACCGTTGTCAGTTTGTGAGCGAACGGTAACACGAGTCTTGCCATTGACGTACTTCCGTCCTGTGACCATCTAACGGGGTGATGAAGTCACATGCGGATGTGCAATGTCATTTGCAGACTTTTTTTTTTTACACACAATCGTCATCTGTCGATGCTTTTACAACATTCTTGACATCATTCTGTTGAGTACAATGAAACTTGAAGAAATAGACTTACAAAGGAACTCGTGCAATTATTTCTTTGAGATATATCGAGTAAAATATTAAAAATTTTTGCCATCTTAAAATCGCTTCAAATAACGAAATGTCCCATAACTGATGGACAGGGTTGTACATGCTCTTCCAGCTGTTGTCGTAGTAAGTTGAAGACATTTCAAGATTGAGAAATCAGATAAGGTGGACAAACTGTTAACGAGGTTCGTTTTCGTGTGCCATTAACACGGCACGGTATCGCGGCAGTTTCGTTGCCGCAGATAC